TTTAGTTTGTTTTCCTTAACACCCGTTGGGGAATCCAGGCTTAACACCTGGTATGAGTGGTTTAGAAATAAAAATAAAATAAAATGGCAATTAGGAAAAGAATGAGGGAATATGTAAATATGCAAATATACCATGGAGAAGATTGAGATGTAAGGATAAAAGATATTGATTTATAGTAAGGAAAACCCTCTTCAAAATCTGTGCATCAAGAATATTGCTTTTAGAAACATGAGGTAGAAGTTGGAAGATGAAAGAATCAGGTGAGGGGGGCTTGGAAAGAGACACTGTTTATATTATTGATAGAGGAATTAGGTATTAGAATGAAAAAAGAGTTGACATATGATGATCAGAATTTTTTGATCACCTCCTCTTCCATTTTAAAATCTAGTAGAAAGTTATATATTCTTGAAATGATTTTCTTTTCCATTTCTTGTAGAATTTTATCTAATTGATGCGTTTCCATGCAGAAACCAAATTGTTCTTTGTCCTTCTGATATCTCGCCTGGATTTACATGTATGGCCACCAATCTATCTTTATATTTTGTTGCTGTAATTCTTGTCTCGTTTTTAATCTTCCTTGTGGGTCTAATAGGTCTTTGTAACTCCTCTTTTTTCCCAGATCCATTGCATTTGGGTATATTTGTGCTTCTATAGTTGACAACCAGTTCGGTATTTTAGTATAATGATTCTTTTTAATCTTGTTCTATGTCCGAACGATTGAATCTCTAATCATGTGTCTCTGAAAATATGCATGCTGTTTACATTTTCCATCCCATAGGAAACTATGCCACCCTCTCTGCAAGTCGTGACCCTCTATTGACAATACTCTTCTATTTTCCAGATTGATCCAATCTTTAATCCATACCATAGCCGCAGCCTGATGATACATTTCCCAGACAGGGAGTCCAAAGCCACCCCTTTCTCTTTTGTCCTGTAACATTTCATTTTTATCCTAGCTTTTTTCCCATCCCAAACAAATTTACTTATTATTCGATCTAATTCTCTAAAAAAGGTTTTATCCAATCTTATTGGTACAGTTTGAAAAAGATATAGTATTTTTGGTAGGGTAGACATTTTAATTGCCGCAATTTTCCCCAGTAGTGATAGCTGTAATTTCCCCCACGTTTCCAATTCTTTTTTGATTTGTATTATTAATTTATCATAGTTATCTTTTTTAATTGAAGAGCATCTTGCTGTTAACCAAATGCCTAAATATTTTACCTTTTTCACACTTTGCATTCCCAATTTTCCTTCTAATTCTTTTTTTCGCTTATCTTTTAAATTTTTAGTCAGTAATTTTGTTTTGTTTTTATTAATCTTAAGGCCTGCAACCTTGCCAAATTCCTCTGTTTCCTTTATTAATTTCACTCCTGTATCCTCTGGATCTTCCAGAAAAAATACTATATCATTGGCAAATGCCTGTACCTTATAATGCTCCTTTTTAATTAAAGCCCCTTTGATTTCTACATTTTTCCTAATGTTTTCCAATAAGTTTTCTAAGGTAAGAATAAAGAGAAGGGGTGACAGTGGGCATCCCTGCCTTACTCCCTTGTTGATCTTGAATGTTTCCGTTCTGTCACCATTCATTATTACACTGGCCATCTGTGTCGTATAAATTGTCGAAATCAATTTAATAAATTTATTGCCAAATTGCATGCTTTTTAATTGTTGTATTATGAACTGCCAATTAACATTGTCAAATGCCTTTTGCGCATTGAGGAAGACCACTGCCAGTTGTTTTCCTGGGTTTGCTTCATAATATTCTATTATATTCAGTACCATTCTGGTATTATTTTTAATTTGTCTATTCGGTAAGAATCCGTTTTGGTCGCTATGAATGATCTGATTAAGGGTTTTTTTTTTCAATCTTTCTGCCATTAGGGACATAAATATTTTATAATCAACATTTAAAAGGGATATGGGCCTGTAATTTTGAATTAATTGATGGTCCAAATCTTCTTTTGGGATCAATGTTATATATGTGACTTAGGTAATTTTGCTGTCATCAGTACCTCATTATAGAGTTCTAATAATTGCATTTCTAATTTTCCTTGGAGCGTTTTATACAGTTCCCCAGGGAGACCATCCGGTCCCAGAGTCTTATTGTTTTTCTGTTTCAGGATTGCCTCTTGCAGTTCTCTTAATGTTATTTCCCTGTTTATCTCTTCTTTGTCCTCTTCCGGGATCACAGGTAGCCCTTTTCCTTGTAAGTAATGTTGGATATTTCCCTCTGGTACATCTTCCCTACTATATAGTTCCTCAAAAAAACTTTTAACAATATGCTTTTTCTTTTCAGTTTGATGTTATAGTGTACCATCAGCGTCCATCAATTGTTGGATTGCTCTTTTTTCTTTTTCTTTCTTAGGTCTATAAGCTAGCCACCTTCCCGGCTTATTCGCATGTTCAAAGTAATTCTGT